GAATCAAAAATCAGTCGATAGTATATTTTGAAGCATATGATTTAACCTTCAGTATAATTAAACCTTTCAAGAAAACATTTAATCCGAAACCATTCCTACCTGTACGGTTTATTGTCCCCATCTCGATCAATAATAATGAAATGACGAAATGTAGGAAAATAATCTGCAGTCACATCACCTCTCCCTTCCGCTTTAACAGCAATATCCGGAATGATATCTACCATTGACAAGTAATAGTTTGACTTCTTAAAACTTGAAGGTGTAACCAATGCTTTGATCCCTACTTTACCAAGTGCAAATTTCAACTCTTCCGATTGGTATGATGGGTTTATATTGACCTGAAATTTTCGGAAACAATGCATCAATTTTTAACAATCAAGAAAATTACCCGATATAAATATAAAAAAAAATATAAAAAAAAATATAAAAAATATAAAAAAAATAATATAAAAATAAAAAAATATTATTCCTAGGATAACTAGAATTAACCACAAAACATCCCTAGTTGTTATTGCATCTGAGGAAATAAATGATAAACTTTTTCTGCAACATACAATTAATTGATTTAATTTAATCAATATTAATACATTTACTGAATTGAACAATTCTTTCAACAGAATAATATGAAATACTTGCCAAAATCATGCCAGCAAGAGCTGTAGCAAATTGGCAAACAATCCATTCGTATAAATTTGGACCCCATATTCCCACACGATCGCCGCGATTTAAACCCAAATGTAACAAACCAGTAGCCAATTTTTCACACTGCATAAAAAGCCATTTAAAAATTAATTTGATTTCCAACACATATAAAATTAAGCTTAATGCTCGGAAAAATCTTGAACTGAATTTATTTGGAGAAAATATTTTCAAAACTATTCGAAAAATTTAACTTATTTAATAAACTGAAGGAAAAAAAAAGAAAAAGGGAATATATACATCGTGAAGAAGTTGTTGATAAGTTTTACGTATACCATCACGTTTAAAAATTACAAATTCTCGATCTGGAACCTAAAATTAGCAAGTGAATCTTTAAAAAATTCGATTGTAACAAGGAATTTTAATTAAATTTTTTAAAATTAACTGAAACTTGGCTAAAAATGATGAGAGATCAGAAATTAAACCTGATCGACGGCCATTCGAAGACGATCACCAATAGTATCAAAAAGTAAAGGGACATTTGATACTCCATGAACATAACTTTTTCTTACAGCTTGTGCTGCCGCATTTTCTGACAGCACACTTGCATCGCCGTTAAGTGGTGTTTCTAAAATATTTCCAACTTCGATATCGAAGTTATTTTCAAAGATTTCGAAATTTCATCATTCCAGAGGTATACGGTATTTGAATATATAAATACAAAGAAGCTGAATTTAAAATTTTTAAACAACTTATACTTTTGCATTATCAATAACATAAATAATAGTAAAATCAAATCAGATTTTTCAAAAAAAAAAATTCAAATCGAATTTGAGCTTTCTGATTGAAACGGAAATTAAATTACACGAATATTTTCATTTTTGATATCTTTTTTTCCCTCTTCTTATTTCCTTATATTTTTTAAAGTAATCAATCAAGAATTCCCAATCAATTATCAATGCTATTCATTTCTTTACTAAAATTCTTAAATGATTGCATGTAATTGGTTAAAAACATACATACTCTTCATCTTTTGATTCAAAACTTAAAAAAAAAAATTTTTTATTGTCATAAATTAGAATGAATGGTATTAATTGCTGGAAGAAAAGCATAGAATGAGAGAGTTTAAGATTGTCGACAAAATGCCCGAATATATTAACTTGAATATTATTCATTATAATATTAATTATTCTTTTTTTTTTTACTAGATGGCAGAAGTGGATGCTGAAATAGCTCTATGTTGTAATAGTTTTAAGAAAGAATATAAATGAATGCTATCATCATTTAAATCATTCAATTTAATTTATTTATGAAACAAGAAGAATAAAATTATTTTGAAATTTAGTAAGATCGCATTTAATTGTAAAAATTGCTCATGATTTTATAAAATTTCTCAACTATCATAAATAATAATTCAATTAGTGTGATGTATTATTTCTTTGTAAATTTTGATAATTTAAAAATTAGTTAGAAATTTCAGGAAATTAATTGATAAAAATTGTTAATACTAACCAATATGCATACTATTGCTGCAATAATTATAAATTCTGATCGCAATATCAGATATATTTTCCCAGTGTTTATGTAAACGTTCTGCTTTTTTAACTACCTGGAAGTAATTTGATATCTTCAATATATAGTACGAACAATTAAATTTCAAAAGAAAAAAAAATTAATTAAAAACGATATAAACGTTACTAATTAAACTTATATGGATCATTCAATAGTGTCATTTTTTGATGATAGGAAAATGTAAGATATAAGTTAAGAAATTGAATCAAATAAAATGAATCATCGAAGATACTGGAAGAAACTGGAAGCAGATTTTAGATGTATCAAATCATCCAATCCCATTTCATCCTTCTCTTAGCTTAGATTAACAACAATAGGAAGTTGCGCAAAAATAAGGTGAAAATGAAATGAGTTGTAATAATTGATCTCAGGTAATTATCAAATAATTAGAGAAATTTGGGACAAACAATGATATGACAAGTGAGGAAATAAACAAATTTTCAAAACTATCCAAAATCTAAACAGCAAAAGCATGCTATCATCCCGATTTATCATTTAATAATGTTACTGGATTAATTTTACAATCAGTTCAACAGATTTGATTAGCTATCATCTTCTCGTATATTTGTTGCAAATATCGTTTAATGATAACCGTAATGATGAGATATTCAAATTTTGTTGTTCTGATATTCAGATAATTCAATCAACAAAAAATTTGTAAAATTTAAAGAAAAAAAGAAAAAAAAAAAGGAAAAGAAAAAAACCTACATAAATTTCTGAAACATAGAAAGTAAACAATTTCATAATAAAATATTTCCTCAAATAATTTGGCAATAAATAGCAATTAATTAAAGATATACAAAAAAATATATATATATGGAAATGAAAAATCTGGACCAACCAATACTACTCATCCATTTTCTTCAATCTACCATCTATAGATCATTCTTGTTGCTATAAGTTATTTATTACTATGAATTGAATTGTTATTCAAATTCCTATTACTATAAATTGGTTATTCAAATTCCTATTACTATAAATTGAATTGTTATTCAAATTCCTATTATCAGTATTGATTATTTCTATGACGGGAAAGTATTGAGATATATTTCTCCCGATAAATAAATACTAATTCAACAGTTCCAATTCTAGCATAGATTTTATACCGTTTTTTTTCTCAATTTTTTCCTCATGAAAAGTAAAGAAAATTTTCAACAGATAAAAGTTACTTAATGCATATTATCAGTAATTTTAATAACATTAAACTAATTATATTTCCGTATTTTAACTAATAATATTCACTATTGAGAGTGTAAAAAAAAAAAAAACAAAGCAAAGGAAAATTTTACGTTA